GTGCGTCCGCAGGCCAGATGGACCAGGCTGTATAATGATGTCTCGCCGTTAGAATACTGCGTTGTTATAAATCCTTTATGTGTGTTAGTCATTCTGTTAAAATGACACGAATTTCTTGTTTTCCATATACTGCGTACAAAAGTAGTGTGCTGTTAGGTTTTGTCTTAAGTTCTTATTGTTCAAAATACGTTTATATATGATCTCCGTGATTGCATTATTGGCGAATTAGCAATACAAGAGAATAATGTAGACGATCATGAATATGGATTTATTTTTTTTAAATGATGAATGGGAAGCTGATTGAAAGTCGTGGCAAATGCAGTTCAGTGAACACAAAAGTTAATATCGAACTTTGGGGAAAATCAAGTTAATATTTACAATCGCATCCCAATCACAGGTCGAATCGTAAGTACTCTAAAATTTTTAAATATTATATTTTTGTAAATAATGTGATAACAAAGATTTCATTAACTTCGATAAAATTTAGAGGTGTGGTCAAATTGATCATTTGCAGCGTACCACAAATTATCGTCTGCTTGGGAAGATGTAACAGTTCTGAAAAGTACAAGCATATATTAATTTATTTTACCTTGGAAATAAATTTCTTGAGACAGTGTAGTGTGGCCTGTACTGTGTTCCTTCACCTAACGTCAGTGCTGCCCGCGACAAGTCCTCACCTCTCTCCTGTATATACCAGCACGTGTCAGCCACCAGACCCCAAAGTTATAGTCCCGCTCCTGTACTAGGTAAGTCCACCATGGGCTCACCATAGCCCGTGCTACTTTGAAGCTTCTGTTCTAAGTACCTGAATCTAAACCAACAACAATCCACGAGACCCACAGAACAGCCCGGCCTCCTAAAGTCCCCAACGTCAAGAAACTGTCGTACTATAGTGCCCTTATCCTAACCTACCAGAGAACACAAAACAGAAATCGGGACACTATATCAATTTCGCCAGTCGCTAACATTTTCTAGTACGACCATTTTTGGCCTTTGGTACGTCAAAATGCGACGCTCTGTTGGGACAGGTTCCACTGAAGGCATGTAATTGAAAAAAGTGAATTTGTGAAATAGTGCACTCGTATATATTTTATGTGGTTGTGTAACAGCATCTCTGTATGTACGTGCGCTTATGTATACTGTATAAGGGGAGTATGTGTGTTATGTGTCAGGAGGCGTGTACACACGTGTGCGTGTCAGGAGACATGTACACACGTGTGCGTGTCAGGAGGCGTGTACACGCGTGTGCGTGTCAGGAGACATGTACACGCGTGTGCGTGTCAGGAGACATGTACACACGTGTGCGTGTCAGGAGGCGTGTACACGCGTTTGCGTGTCAGGAGGCGTGTACACACGTGTGCGTGTCAGGAGACATGTACACACGTGTGCGTGTCAGGAGACATGTACACGCGTGTGCGTGTCAGGAGACATGTACACGCGTGTGCGTGTCAGGAGACATCTACACGCGTTTGCGTGTCAGGAGACATGTACACGCGTGTGTGTGTCAGGAGGCATGTACACGCGTGTGCGTGTCAGGAGGCATGTACACGCGTGTGCGTGTCAGGAGACATGTACACGCGTGTGCGTGTCAGGAGACATGTACACACGTGTGCGTGTCAGGAGACATGTACACGCGTGTGCGTGTCAGGAGACATGTACACGCGTGTGCGTGTCAGGAGGCGTGTACACGCGTGTGCGTGTCAGGAAGCGTGTACACACGTGTGCGTGTCAGGAGACATGTACACACGTGTGCGTGTCAGGAGGCGTGTACACACGTGTGCGTGTCAGGAGACATGTACACGCCTGTGCGTGTCAGGAAGCGTGTACACACGTGTGCGTGTCAGGAGGCGTGTACACACGTGTGCGTGTCAGGAGACATGTACACGCCTGTGCGTGTCAGGAAGCGTGTACACACGTGTGCGTGTCAGGAAGCGTGTACACACGTGTGCGTGTCAGGAAGCGTGTACACACGTGTGCGTGTCAGGAGACATGTACACACGTGTGCGTGTCAGGAGGCGTGTACACACGTGTGCGTGTCAGGAGACATGTACACACGTGTGCGTGTCAGGAGACATGTACACGCCTGTGCGTGTCAGGAAGCGTGTACACACGTGTGCGTGTCAGGAGGCGTGTACACACGTGTGCGTGTCAGGAGACATGTACACACGTGTGCGTGTCAGGAGGCGTGTACACACGTGTGCGTGTCAGGAGACATGTACACACGTGTGCGTGTCAGAAGGCGTGTACACACGTGTGCGTGTCAGGAGACATGTACACACGTGTGCGTGTCAGGAGGCGTGTACACACGTGTTCGTGTCAGGAGGCGTGTACACACGTGTGCGTGTCAGGAGGCGTGTACACACGTGTGCGTGTCAGGAGGCGTGTACACACGTGTGCGTGTCAGGAGGCGTGTACACACGTGTGCGTGTCAGGAGACATGTACACGCGTGTGCGTGTCAGGAGGCGTGTGCGTGTCAGGAGACATGTACACACGTGTGCGTGTCAGGAGGCGTGTACACACGTGTGCGTGTCAGGAGGCGTGTACACACGTGTGCGTGTCAGGAGGCGTGTACACACGTGTGCGTGTCAGGAGGCGTGTACACACGTGTGCGTGTCAGGAGGCGTGTACAAACGTGTGCGTGTCAGGAGGCGTGTACACACGTGTGCGTGTCAGGAGGCGTGTACACACGTGTGCGTGTCAGGAGGCGTGTACACACGTGTGCGTGTCAGGAGGCGTGTGCACACGTGTGCGTGTCAGGAGGCGTGTACACACGTGTGCGTGTCAGGAGGCGTGTACACACGTGTGCGTGTCAGGAGGCGTGTACACACGTGTGCGTGTCAGGAGGCGTGTACACGCGTGTGCGTGTCAGGAGACATGTACACACGTGTGCGTGTCAGGAGGCGTGTACACGCGTGTGCGTGTCAGGAGGCGTGTACACGCATGTGCGTGTCAGGAGACATGTACACGCGTGTGCGTGTCAGGAGACATGTACACGCGTGTGCGTGTCAGGAGACATGTACACGCGTGTGCGTGTCAGGAGACATGTACACGCGTGTGCGTGTCAGGAGGCGTGTGCGTGTCAGGAGACATGTACACACGTGTGCGTGTCAGGAGGCGTGTACACACGTGTGCGTGTCAGGAGGCGTGTACACACGTGTGCGTGTCAGGAGGCGTGTGTGTGTCAGGAGGCGTGTGCGTGTCAGGAGACATGTACACACGTGTGCGTGTCAGGAGGCGTATACACACGTGTGCGTGTCAGGAGGCGTGTACACACGTGTGCGTGTCAGGAGGCGTGTGTGTGTCAGGAGGCGTGTGCGTGTCAGGAGACATGTACACACGTGTGCGTGTCAGGAGGCGTGTACACACGTGTGCGTGTCAGGAGGCGTGTACACACGTGTGCGTGTCAGGAGGCGTGGGTACGTTCAGGAACACACTTCAAAATACCTCTCCAGGTTTTTATGGGCCTCTTCTCCCCCCTTAACCCCCCCCCCCCAACCCGTCACCTTCACCTTGGGGTGATCTTCCTCCAGTGCCCCCTCGCGGTACTATGGTAATGCTCCTTAACACATTGCCACAACGTCTACTTCACTTTCTTGATCATTTAAATGATATGAACATAATATTTTACAAGTATTATTATCAGCATTACATTAAAAATAACAAAATTAATAATGGATATGTGTGTTACTGTGTAAACAGGCAGGCAGGGTAAACAACCATTCAAGGGAGACTAGCTCAGTTTAACCTTGGGAGAGAGAGAGAGAGAGAGAGAGAGAGAGAGAGAGAGAGAGAGAGAGAGAGAGAGAGAGTGAGAGTGAGAGTGAGAGAGTGAGAGAGTGAGAGTGAGAGAGAGAGTCGACAGCTTCCCTGGCGAAATGGGAAATTTAAGTGATCATTAAGAAAACATAATTACGCCATTAACTTATTTATGGTAAACATACATTGGTTTGGTGGTGAGCATAATGCTTTGTAACCTCTTGGGGTCATTGAGGCCATCGCAACTGCTTATACTGAACAAGCAACGAGTTAACTTTAATCTTAAACGAAGTCAGGACTATTTCTTGTAGCGACTGTGTGGTATTGGGCTTAATGTCTATTATCTTCTGGAGGGGGCTTGAGGCACCTACACGTGCTAAGTGACCAACCAGAAAGTATACTTTAGTTCTGATCATTGTCTACAGTCAGAGTAAACTCAGTGTATGCTTCTCGGTGCGTATATCGTGTGAGGTGATATACTCATGATACTCTTTACAAATGTGCTCTTTACTTATCAAAACATATTATTGAGAACTAATAAAATCGTTGTCTAATAATAAAATTCTTGAGAAAATATACTGAATAATTTTTTCATGTAGAAGAAAAAACACAATAGACGTAAACTGACGTCGCACGTAAGCAAAAATGTGAATAAAAATTCAATTTTAACATGGAATTCCCTGAAGCACAAATAACAAGCTTGAAAGACATAAATATTTGACTAATCCAATTAAGAATGACTAGGCTTCAGGCGTGAACCTTTCCAGGTGCAGTGGAGAGCCAGAGACAATAGGCTTCCCCCCACACATCGCTCACTCCTCCCCCCACCACCAACACCGCGCCCCATACCACTTCCAGGGTCAAGTTCACAGTCGACATGAGAAACCTTGAAGTCTGTCTCTGAAACACCATCCATAAAACTGCTTGCTGTGTCCAAAGAATAATGAAGACATTCACATTCGGACTGTACAAATAAAATGCGATTAGCATACAAAAAGGGAATTGGTCGGTGTGAATATTAAACTAGGCTTAGAGGTGCACAGGTGTGTGTGTGTGTGTGTGTGTGTGTGTGTGTGTGTGTGTGTGTGTGTGTGTGTGTGTGTGTGCGTGTGTGTGTGCGTGTGTGTGTGCGTGTGCGTGTGTGTGTGCGTGTGTGCGTGTGCGTGTGTGTGTGCGTGTGTGTGTGCGTGTGTGTGTGCGTGTGCGTGTGTGTAGTGGGGTTGGTTCATGAGCTCATCTTCAGTACACATCTTCGCCAGCCGCGGTGAGGCAGCTATACCTCGCTTGCCCGACGCCTCACATTACTTAGTGCGGATTATCTAAAGACCTGAATTGATTTCAGTTTAATATTCCATTGGAAGTTAATTGGAGACGTCACCCGTGCTGGATCAGATCATTGCATCACGTAAATACATTGCAAGGTGAGTGTTAGACTTGAGGCCAATCACACTGGAGTATTATTATAAGCCCATCCCAGTACTTTACTATCAGCAAGTTTAATTTAATCCAAAACTTAATATTCAGACATAATGTAAACTCTTAGTGTGTGTATATATATATATATATATATATATATATATATATATATATATATATATATATATATATATATATATATATATATATATATATATATGTCGTACCTAGTAGCCAGAACGCACTTCTCAGCCTACTATGCAAGGCCCGATTTGCCTAATAAGCCAAGTTTTCATGAATTAATTGTTTTTCGACTACCTAACCTACCTAACCTAACCTAACCTAACTTTTTCGGCTACCTAACCAAACCTAACCTAGAAAGATAGGTTAGGTTAGGTTAGGTAGGGTTGGTTAGGTTCGGTCATATATCTACGTTAATTTTAACTCCAATAAACAAAAATTGACCTCATACATAATGAAATGGGTAGCTTTATCATTTCATAAGAAAAAAATTAGAAAAAATATATTAATTCAGGAAAACTTGGCTTATTAGGCAAATCGGGCCTTGAATAGTAGGCCAAAAAGTGAGTTCTGGCTACTAGGTACGACATATATATATATATATATATATATATATATATATATATATATATATATGGGTGGTAGGAGAAGATAATATTAGTGTTCAGTGAGAAACCTCAAGGTCTCCTCTGAATACTTTTTATTTTCTTCTCCGAGGCTATGGGTCCCCACATTGGCACCAGAGGTGGTACCCTCACAAACTATATATATATATATATATATATATATATATATATATATATATATATATATATATATATATATATATATATATATATATACTAAAGGGAAGAGGTACCTCTGGTTGCGTTTGTAGGGACCCACGACCTCGAAGAAGACGATATGTTACATCCAGGGGAGCATTGTGGGGCACCCACGAACACTCGAATTTTGTCTTCTCCTATCAGTGCCTCCTCTATATTTTGTACTTTGTCATTGTATTTTATTAAAACTTCATTACTCAAAATGGGTTACAACATTCGTCCCATGCAAGGTTCAAGGGTAGTTGTCACAGGTTGTCGAGTTCTTCCAGCTCCTCAGGTGACGGGCAGGAACCATGGATGCAGTGAGCGTTCCCTCTCTGAATCGCCACTCTAAGGTGCAGTAAGAGGAAACTGGCGGCTCTAGGGTATCTTGTTATTTCAGTTAGCTTAGAACCCAACGCCTTCAAAAAACTAGCAGCACTTTTACCCCAGGCACCAAGTGTCTGAGGCAATGAGGACAAAATTGGACAAAATTGTAGTTGCGATTAAGATCTCTGTATTTACTAGACTTGGCTGCGTCCCAGTGAGTGGCAGCGCCGCTCAGATGTGCAATACTAAAGACAACATAGGTGTTGGTCAAAGTTGAAACGCATGTGTAGTACCACTAGTCCCACACCAACTGTCTACCATTCTTCCAGGGGCTCACTGTGATCCCGTCTGGGCGACCGATAGGCTCGTCAGAGTTGCGGGGCATTAGGTAATGAGTTTCTCTCTGCTGGACAACCAGCTGTGGTATATATATATATATATATATATATATATATATACATGTCGTACCTAATAGCCAGAACGCACTTCTCAGCCTACTATTCAAGGCCCGATTTGCCTAATAAGCCAAGTTTTCATGAATTAATGTTTTTTCGTCTACCTAACCTACCTAACCTAACCTAACCTAGCTTTTTTGGGCTACCTAACCTAACCTTACCTATAAATATAGGTTAGGTTAGGTTAGGTAGGGTTGGTTAGGTTCGGTCATATATCTACGTTAATTTTAACTCCAATAAAAAAAAATTGACCTCATACATAGAGAAAAGGGTTGCTTTATCATTTCATAAGAAAAAAATTATAGTAAATATATTAATTCAGGAAAACTTGGCTTATTAGGCAAATCGGGCCTTGAATAGTAGGCTGAGAAGTGAGTTCTGGCTACTAGGTACGACATACATATATATATATATATGTATATGTATATGTATATGTATATGTATATGTATATGTATATATATATGTATATGTATATGTATATGTATATATATATGTATATGTATATGTATATATATATGTATATATATATGTATATGTATATATATATGTATATGTATATATATATGTATATATATATGTATATGTCAGGGACTTGATGAAATTAACGTATAAATGACCCCTCACTTGCTCTGGTGCTCTTGGGAGGTGTTGATCTTTGGGGTATTTAAATACTCCGAAATTACCATCTCTTTTAAGGGTCTGAGCGGGTGGTGGAGAGGGTTAAGGCGTACCTGTTATGCCAGTTGCTGGAAGGCTTCTGTGCTGGCTAGGGTTCGAGTCTCCTGGTGGGAAAGTGTTCTAAAGTTGTATATGTATATGTATATATATATGTATATATATATATATATATATATATATATATATATATATATATATATATATATATATATATATATATATATATATATATATATATATATATATATGTATATAAATATATATATATATATGTATGTCGTACCTAGTAGCCAGAACGCACTTCTCAGCCTACTATGCAAGGCCAAATTTGCCTAATAAGCCAAGTTTTCATGAATTAATTGTTTTTCGACTACCTAACCTACCTAACCTAACCTAACCTAACTTTTTCGGCTACCTAACCAAACCTAACCTATAAAGATAGGTTAGGTTAGGTTAGGTAGGGTTGGTTAGGTTCGGTCATATATCTACGTTAATTTTAACTCCAATAAAAAAAATTGACCTCATACATAATTAAATGGGTAGCTTTATCATTTCATAAGAAAAAAATTAAAGAAAATATATTAATTCAGGAAAACTTGGCTTATTAGGCAAATCGGGCCTTGAATAGTAGGCTGAGAAGTGAGTTCTGGCTACTAGGTACGACATGTATATATATATGTATATATATATATGTCGTACCTAGTAGCCAGAACGCACTTTTCGTCCTACTATGCAAGGCCCGATTTGCCCGATTTCGTCCTACTATGCAAGGCCCAAGTTTTCATGAATTAATATATTTTCTCTAATTTTTTTCTTATGAAATGATAAAGCTACCCATTTCATTATGTATGAGGTCAATTTTTTTTTATTTGAGTTAAAATTAACGTAGATATATGGCCGAACCTAACCAACCCTACCTAACCTAACCTATCTTTATTGGTAAGGTTAGGTTAGGTAGCCTAGAAAGTTAGGTTAGGTTAGGTTAGGTAGGTTAGGTTGCCGAAAAACAATTATTTGATGAAAACTTGGCTTATTAGGCAAATCGGGACTTGCATAGTAGGCTGAGAAGTGCGTTCTGGCTACTAGGTACGACATATATATATATATATATATATATATATATATATATATATATATATATATATATATATATATATACATATATATATATACATACATATATATATATATATATATATATATATATATATATATATATATATATATATATATATATATATATATATATATATATATATATTTAGGGGTACCACCACTGGTTTAATTAAAGGGACCCACATCTTCGAAGAAGAAAATAAATAGTGTTCAGAGAAGACCTTGTGGGTTCTCACTGAATACTTTAATCTTTTCATCTCCTACCACCCCCTATTATTTTTTTATTTTTATTTTATTGCAATGCTACAGTTTACAGAAAACACACACTTATATAAAAATACACTGTATACCAATCAGTGTTCGAAGACCTCGTCCAGTTCCTCGGGGGTCGGGTGCGTACCCAAGATACAGCACGCATTTCCCCTCTGAACAGCGACACTGAGGCGCTGGAACATAAAACTGGCCGCTCTTGGGTTTCTAGTCTTCCCAATGAGCTCCTTGCCCAGCTCCTTCAGGAACTTAAGTGCACATTTACCCCAGGCGCCCAGAGTCTCAGAGCCTATTGGCACGAACCTGTAACAACGTTCTAGGTCCCTGTACTTGTTAGTTTCCTGGGTCTCCCTGAAGGTGGCCGCCCCGCCTCCCTCAGCTATATATATATATTTATTCCTTGGTGAGTGTTGTGTTGTTAACACAAGCTGATAAGAATCAGCTCAAAAATACTTATTTGTATAATTTTTCATAAGCAATGTAGGTACAAAGCGTAAATTTTCAATTTGATAACACAAATAAGAAAAAATGTCTCTCCATTTCCTTCATTGCCATTGCTTTCATTGTTGGAATTGCTAGTTTCTATTTTACAACCCGTGTTGTATAATTTGTACCTATTAACAACTTCCTCACGTCGCGAGGCAGGATGGAAAGACTTGCCTTACACCAATGATGGAAAAAGGAAAAAGTTGACCTAGGTTATTAGACCATGGATCCAGCGTTTATATTAAAAATATAACTACAATGCTACTATTGATGATAATACAACATACGATGGATATATATATATTTACAATTTATATATAAACAATAAAATGTAAAATATGTGCATTAGCAAATAATTGTTTAAGATTATTGTACTCGGCTCAGCAAAATAATTAAATAAATGCGTCCACATCATTAAGAATAAATAGGCTATGCTCATTAAACAAATATGTGGATGATATTCGTAAATAAATCTTTGCCTTAAAAGGAGTGTGTCCTGTAAGTAAGTTCCATACCATCGACCAAAGTCAAGTTATGATCAAGGCAATAATTATCTGTGAGGGTATAACTATATTCACCTCGGGGTCATGTCGGGGCAGAGATACTATTCACTATGATGACAGTAGTGAACATATCTCACCTAACCGAACCTTTATTCGTATAACTAATGCTAAACCAATAGCATCTAGTCGGTTTATCTGCATTTAAGCCAACCCTGTACCCTTATTTTCGAATATATAAATAATCTCAACACTGTAAAAAAAATAATATTCCAAAGCATACCAGGACAGGTTTGGTAGGTTAGACAATATCAAGTTTGGTAAGTTAACACTGAGTAGGCTTCG